CCGCCATGCCTGGCTATTTTCTTTTGCAGTTGTCATTGCTGTTTAGCTGGCCCAGGCTGGGTTTGAACCCGCCAGCCTTGTTGTGTGTGTCTGGCGCTGTAATCCCCCCTGGGGTGGGATCTGTTACCCCAGGACTGCTGCAACCCAGACAAATCAACTCATGCTATAGGCGCTGAGCCTGCAATGAACTTTTGTTTATGAGTCTTGTGTGCATGCGTGTGAAGGTCCCCCAACTGCTCACAAATATCTCCACAACCTCACCCTCCCCACTTCCATCCTACCTGGCCTCAAATGACAAGCTCAAAGGAACCTAGGAGTCACACAAAGGTGACAGGATCCCTGCTTGGCACTGGGCAAGTGACAACCTTCCTTCTCTGGGCCTCAGTTTCTTGCTTTGTAAAATGGGGGTAGCGGGAGTGACCTATCTTGTCCAACTGTAAAAAAACCCAATATTTATAATCCTAGCACTCTGGGAGGCTGAGGCTAGTGGATCACCTGAGCTCAGGAGTTTCAGACCAGCCTTCCAAAGCAAGAGTGAGACCTGTCTCTACTAAAAATAGAAAAACTAGCCAGGTGTCTGTAGACCCAACTACTTGGGAGGCTGAGGAAAGATCGCTTAAACCCAGGAATTTGAGGTTGCTGTAAGCTATGGTGACACCAGGGCACTCTAGCTTGGGCAACAGAGTAAGACTCTGTCTCTAAATTAATTAATTAATTTAATTTAATAAAAATAGCAATACCAGCTCGGTGTCTGTGGCTCAAGTGGCTAAAGCACCAGCCACATACACCTATGGTTGCAGGTTCAAATCCAGCCCCAGCCCATCAAACAACAATGATGGCTGCAACCAAAAAATAGCCGGGCATTGTGGCAGGCGCCTGCGGTCCCAGCTACTTGGGAGGCAGAGGCAGGAGACTTGCTTGAGCCAGGAGTTGGAGGTTGCTGTGAGCTATGATGCCATAGCACTCTACCCAGGGGGACAGCTTGAGGCTCTGTCTCAAAAAAATAAAATAACAATACCAAGGCTGGGAGGAGGGAAATGACCACCTGGTAGCCTGCCTTATAGTATATTCCTTGTGATCATAGACAGTGACAAACATTTACTGAGCACCTGCTGTGGGCCCTGCCCTGTGGTCAGTGCTCTGCATGCAACAACTCCTTTAAATCCTTGTTTCCAACCCCAAGAATCAAGGAAACCAGAGGGTCAGAGAGGGGACAAGTTTTGCTCAAGCCAGAGGTGGATAAAGGTCACGCTCAGAGCTATCCTCAGCAGACACCTAAAACTCTGGCTCCCTCAGGGTTCCTTTCGAAACTCATCAGTGACAGAGCCAGGCCTTGACCCAGCCTCTCCCCCACCCCCACACAGCCACCCCTCAGGGGACTTGCGGCCACTGCAGGTGCAGGAAACAGTTCCTCAGTGCTCATAGCATGAAGCATATGGCAGGGGCTGCCCCCAGGCCTGACAGCCAAAAGGCCCAGCAGTGGTGGCCATTGGAGCCCATCTCCGCCAGGGCTGGGCAGGAAGTGGGGCGGGGTCTGGGGTGGGATCTGTTACCCCAGGACTGCTGCAACCCAGACAAACCAACCCACTGGGAGAAGATGGCTGGGGGTCCAGCTGTCCTCCAAGGTCTGCGAGCCACCATCTTCCTCTTCTTGCTGTCTGCTGCCTACCTGGGTATGTTGCCAAAGGGCAAGTGCTGGAGGGACATGGCTGGAAACTGGAGAGGCTGGAGAGAGGGCAAAGATAGAGGAAGGGTGCCACTTAAGTGGGGGAGGCAAGGCAGAAAGAGGGGGTACTTGTGTAAGGCCCCTCTAGAAATCTCATCTGTTCCAAGCGGGACCAAGATGCTGCTGAAAGTGGGCAGCGCCTGTGGCTCAAAGGAGCAGGGCGCCGGCCTCGTATACCGGAGGTGGTGGGTGCAAACCTGTCCCCGCCAGAAAAAAAAAAAGATGTTGCTGAAAGGAGCTAAGGATGGTGAGGTGTCCCTAGCTCTAGGGAGGCGGGCAGGAGCTAGAGATGCCTCCCCCACTTCTCATCCTCACAGGTCAAAAAAGGAACTAAAGGTTTTTCTTGACTGAACACCAGCGCTGGGGGTAGCAATCAGCATCAGACAGGAGAGAAAGCTTTCTCCTTTTCTGCTGTTGTTTTTTTTTTTGGAGATATAGTCTCACTTTGTTGCCCTCAGTAGAGTGTTGTCACATCACAGCTCACAGCAACCTCAAACTCTTGGGCTTAAGTGATTCTCTTGCCTCAGCCTACCAAGTAGCTGGGCCTACAGGCGTCCACCACAATGCCCAGCTATTTTTTGGTTGTAGTTGTCATTGTTGTTTGGCAGGCCCAGGTTGGATTCGAACCCTCCAGCCCTGGTGTATGTGGCTGGCACCCTAGCCTCTAAGCTACAGGCACAAATCTGTGTTGTTCGTTTATTTCTTTTTTGACACAAAATCTCACTTTGTCACCCTCTGTAGAGGGATTTGATGTCAAAGCTTACAGCAGGGTGGTGCCTATGGCTCAAGGAATAGGGCACTGGCTCCATATGCCGGAGGTGGCGGGTTCAAACCCAGCCCTGACCAAAAATTGCAAAAAAAAAAAAAAAAAAAGCTCACAGCAACCTCAAACTCTTGGGCTCAAGTTGTCCTCTTGCCTCAGCCTCCTGACTGGCTGGGACTATGGATGCTTACCACAACACACAGCTATTTTTAGAGACAGGGTCTCACTGTAGCTCAAGCTGGTCTTCAACTCCTGAACTCAAGCAATCCACCCACCTAGGTGTCCCAGAGTGCTAGAATTATAGGCCTGAGCCACCAAGAAGTCCCTCCCTCTCTGCCTTAAATCTCAGTCATTCCCTCTCCTGTGAAGCATATCCCTTCTCAGCATGGGAGAGGGGATGCTTCCTGTGCCCCCCCACACACACCTGCCCAAGGCCAGCTGGCAGGGCAATGATGACCACACTGAGCTCAAAGAAGGCTGTTTGGCCACCCAGGGTACACTAGGAGCAGGGGTTGGAGCTCTAGACTGGCTGGCTGAATCTTAAGCTTAGGACCATGATGTTGCTCATCCCCTTCCCCTACGGCTACCTCCTTCTTTCTTCCTCCTCCCACCTCCAGAAGAGGCGGAGCCAGCCACATGGGCTGGCCTGCAGGGGCTGAGAGCTGGAACTTCCCAGAGGAACCAGCCTGTGCCACCTTTCCCTTTCTCAGACATCCCTGTCCCCACCCTGCTGGGCCTCTCCCCAGCCCCCAAATCAACCCGAGAGCTGAACTCACCCCTGACCCTAGGTTGATAGATAGGAGCTGCAGAGAATGAGGGACAGGCCCAGGGTCACAGGCCTAAAGACTTGCTCCAGAGTACCAGGCAGAAAGAAACCCAGGGAGCCAGGAGTGTAAACCCAGTACTCCTCCTGACTGCCTGTTGACACTGGGCAACCCACCGGCCTGGGCCTCAACCATCTCCCCTGTAAAACCTAGTAGGGTTTTGTGATAAGATAAAGTGCCAGATGCAGGGCCTAGCTTTGGGTGGGGTGGGAAAATGGAGCAGGAAGGCCTTCAGGAGGAGGGGCTGCCTGAACTGATTCTGTAAAGATCTATCTGGCAAGGGCACTTCCAGTGCCAGAGAACCAAACACCAAAAGCCAGAGAGCTCAAAGGGACCAAAACATAAAGTGGGTGTGCAGAAGGATGGCAAGAGATGGCATGGGAGTGGTGAGAAGGGTCCCTGGGGTGTCTCTCTGTCCCAGAGAGTCTTACTCTCCTCCCCCAGGAGTATCCTCTCCCCTTCCCTGGGGGCCTCTTCACTTTCTATTCCCCCCAAGGTGTGTCAGCCCCTACCAGGAGAGTCCTCACCCTCCTCTTTCCCTCCAGACCCAGCAGTACTGGAGCCCCAGGGGCTGGGGCTGGGGGCCTGTGCCTTAGTCCTGTCCTTAGTCTTGACATATTCCCGCCTTCTGCAGGTCCTGGGTGCCAGGCCCTGAGGGTGGACAGGGGCCCACCATCGGTGACAGTGAGCATAGGGGATAAGGTCCACCTCCCTTGCCAGTACAATGACAACAAAACCAAAGTCAATGTCACATGGTGGCGCTTCATCCAAGGCAACCATACGTGGCCCCCCGAGTACATAGGTTTTGCCAACGACTCCAATGGTGAGCTGACCATCGAGAATGTGAACAAGAGCCACGGGGGCATGTACAGGTGTCATGTCCAGGAACAAGGCAAATCACACCAGTACTCCTGTGGCACCTACCTCCGTGTCCGTGGTGAGTAACCAGGGCCTCTAGGTCCCACTCTCCAGTCAGGGACACTCAGTTTACTCATCTGTGAAGTTGGGACAGAGCCACTACCTTCATTTTGGGTTCAAAACTAGCTAGGACACAGTGACTTATGTTCCCATCTGTAGAGTTGCAGCTTCAGGGGTTTCAGGCCTTGCTTGGGGCAGGGGGACTTGGAGGCCAGAGCTCTGAGCAACACCCCTTTCTCACAGAGCCACCCCCTAGACCTTTCCTGGACATGGGAGAGGGCACCAAGAACCGCATCATCACAGCGGAAGGGATCATCCTTCTGTTCTGCGCAGTGGTGCCTGGGACATTGCTACTGTTCAGGGTGAGCCACTGGGGGACCGCCAAGTCAGCTGGGTGAAAGCCTGGGCTGCATGACTCCCAGTGCCTAGCTGGCCTTCTTGAGTCTAAAGTTCCCCATCCAAAAACTTGGGAGAATGAGAGCACACCCCTCACAGAAGCTATGGAGGTGAAATGAGGGGTGGTCCTCACTCAGCTTTCCCTTCAGGATTATCCTCACCATCCACATCCTGAAAGGTGTCTTATTCTTCCCCCAGGGGTGTCCTCACTGCCCCTCTCTATGGGTGTCTTACTGTCCTTCTGTCCCCACCTAAGAGTGTGGTTATCCCATAGGTATAGCCCAGACCTGCATCAGCCTCTCCCCAGGCCACAGGGCAACTATTTTTATTTACAATTACTGAGATTCCTGGGGCAGTGGAGATAGCCCAAAGGACTCTAGCTCTGGACTAAGAGAAAGCTGTCACATACCTGACATATGGCCTTGAGCACACCTCTTACCCCTTCTGGAAAAAGATACTCACCTCCCCCACTCATTGAGGCACCCACCCTGCCCCCCTCCCAGAAACGATGGCAGAATGAGAAGTTCGGGGTAGATGCCCAGGATGATTATGAAGATGAAAATCTTTATGAGGTAAGGATGGGGGTAGGGGCAAATGTGCTGGGGGCCTGCACTTGTTCCTCCCTCTCATTGGGGTAACCCCCGGAGGTGCTATGTATACCAACACTCACACCCACTGCTACTATCCACCCTAGGGCCTGAACTTGGACGACTGCTCCATGTATGAGGACATCTCCAGGGGCCTCCAGGGCACCTACCAGGATGTGGGCAGCCTCCATGTTGGAGATGTCCAGCTGGAGAAGCCGTGACACTCCCCACTCCCACCAGACTGCCCCAGCCTGCTGCGCCCCAAATCCAGGTCGCCCTGAAACACACTCTCTGCAATCTTCCCTCATTTTCCACCCTGGGATATCTTTTCTGTCTCTTTCTTTTCATTTTGGAGACAAGAGTCTCAAGCTGTTGCCCTGGGTAGAGTGTGGTGGTGTCATAGCTCACAGCAACCTACAACTCCTGGGCTCAAGCAATCCTCTTGCCTCAATTTTTCTATTTTTAGTAGAGACAGAGTCTTGCTTTTGCTCAGGCTGGTCTTGAATTTGTAAGCTCAAGCAATCCACTGGCCTTGGTCTCCCAGAGTGCTGGGATTGCAGGCATGAAGCCCACCCAGGTACCTGCTCTCTTTTCCCCTCCAGGCCTCCTCCGACTCCTCTGAGGTGTCCTACTCTTTTTCCCTCTAGACTGTCCCATCCTCCCCACCCCCAACTGCAGTTCTCCCCCTGCTGCCTTTCCCAGGCTCCCTCCCCAGCGGGTAATGAGCCTTAATCGCTGCCTCTGGGGGAGCTGATTGTAACAGCCTCGTTAGTGTCACCCCCTCCTCCCTGATCTGTCATGGCCACTTAGTGATAATAAATCCTTCCCAACTGCAGACCTTGGCAGGAGTCATGGATCTCATGGATACCGCACCCTGTTTCCTACGACCCAGGATCAGGCACCCATTGTCTTCCTCCCTCAGACCCAGGATTCTGGGCCCAGACATATGCTCACTCCCCACACCTGGGCCAAAGCAGCCAGTCTTGGCTGCGCCCCTGAGAGAAACAAGAAGTCCTTGGGGAGGTCTCCACCCCAATTTAAGGAGCAGTTTGGCCTCCGTCTAGGGCCTCATCCCGGAGCAAAGAGGGAGGTGTGACAACTGAATTATTTGTGCATATATAAGCCCTAGAAACACAGGGGACTATCTCAGAGAGGTTAGTATGGAAATCAGACTGCACCCACATCTCTTCTCCGGCTAGACTTGTAGAGGGGCATTTAGAGAGTCTATGGCCCTAGGTTGGAGATGCTGAGACCACCCAGGGGCAATGGCACAGAGGCACTGAGACAGAGAGTTACTGAGAAAGGGGACAGTGAAGAGACACGGGGAATCTGAGACAGTGCTCTAGACACAGAGACACGGGGCAAAGGAGGGATAAGACAGACCGCATGGAAGAGACAGAGGAGAGGGGGCGCTGAACCGGGACACGGAGAAGCCGGGGAAAGCAACAGTAGGAGAAATGACAGGGGCTGAGAGAGAGATGGAGAAAGATGCAGAGGGGAGGCAAAGGCTTCGAAGGAGAAAGTGAACGAGAAGAGACAGCAGGAGGAGAAACCAACGAGGGAGAGACAGGGAGTGAGACAGAAAGAGAGGACACAGACAGAAACACACCCAAGAAGTGAAGACCAAAGGGAGATGAAGGGAAATGCAGAGCGGGGAAGCAGGGAGGCTGTTGCTCAGGCTGGAGCGGACAGGGCGCAGGACTCGCCCCAGTCCCGCCAGTGAGGTGACGGCCACGCCCGCCCGGGAGAAGAGACCTGGCAACTCGCGCGGTTGAGCGACCGACGGAGCCGGCGGGAGAGGCCGGGGGCTGGGGCGGGGCCGGGCGGAGCACGGAAGGGAGGGCGCGGGCGGGCGGCGAGAAGGGGAAGGAAGCCGAGGTGCCGGGCGGCCGCGGGGCGCCGGCAGGAAGCGGGGAGGGGTGGCGGGGCGGGGGCCTCCGGAAAAACGCCCCAACTTCCTGCCCCGCCAGAGCCAGGAAGCTGGAGCCGGGACTCAGGGCCCGGGATCACCGAGCCCGACCTCGGGCGCCCCGCCGGTCACCTCCCCACGCGGACACCAGGTACGCCGGCCCTGGCCCCGCCCGGTCTCCCTCCCTTCGGCTGCTAGGAGAAGTGGGAGGAGAAGGAGGGAGCGGTTGGGGCGCTTCCCTCAGCTGAGGGGCCTCCTGGGGCCCGCGGGGCCGGCAGCCGCGCCTTCTGGGGCCTCAGTTTTCCCATCTGTCAAAAGGAGCAAAGAAGGGACAGTTAACACTTGCCGAGTGCCCAGTACTGGGGGATGAGCGGTGCGAGGCTGGGGTCAAGGCTCCTAAACTGCTCAGTAGAGGACGGTTGATTACTCCCATTGTACGGGTGAGAAAACCGAGACCCAGGGAGCGGAACCGACTTGTCCCAGGGAACACACTTCGTGAGATTATTACGGATTTGAACTATCAAGTGTTGAGCGCCCTCCTCCAACTCCGCATGCGTTAGCCCACCTAAAAAGGAAAAAACCCGACAATAATAACAACGCCCCTGGGCCACTGTAAAGGTACAAGTTGCAGAGAGCATGTTTGAACACGTTTTCGGAAAGCTCATTTCTGGGTCATTAATTATTCTCTGGGAGATGGGTGTAGGGGAGAGAGCTGGAGACCGTTCCCCATTGTACAGATGGGAAGACTGAGGCCTGAGACGTCATTACTTCTTTGCAGGTTACAGTGCTTGTCAGAGGAGGAAATAGGCTCAAATCCAAGAGTTTTGCATTCCAGTTCCAGTAGAAAGGAGAGTAGGGGCGCGGAAGGAATTGATGTACGAGGATTGGAAATTTAGCTGGTCTTCCAAGTGGGGAGGCAAATAGGGCGGGAGCCCCAGTCCGAGGTGTGGGTGCTCAGCGCCCTAGCGGCTCAGATCTCGGATTGATCTCCGGCGAGGGGTCGAGACTACCTGCACCTCTGGGCGGGGGCGGAGCGCAGGGGAGTGACGGGGGCAGTAGAGATACGGAAACGCCGGCCCTCCAATACAGGCCAGAGCGACCTTATCTGGCCAGCGTGGCGCAGTGGAGAGCTAGAGCGGCCGGCAAGAGGAGTCGAGTCGCAGAGGCAGAAGCTGGTAGTTGCCAGGCTAGAGCGTCTGGCGGGAGGAGTGGAGCTTGCAGCAACGGGGGACTCTGGGGCGGCTAGAGTGACTCGACGGCGGGGGTGGGGGTAGTCTGGAGCCGGCGCGCGGAGGCTTCGGTTCTGGCGGCTGCAGTGGCTTCTCTTCCTACCTGGAGCAGGTGAGGGACGCGGACCCTGACGGGCTTCAGACCCTAACTCTGCGCGTCCTCCCCGACATTCCCTGCTGTGCACATTGCCACGTCTCCTGTAGGATTTAGGGCCATGTAGACCCACCATGTCCATATAAGATTTGGGACTCGTGTAGACACCCACCTACACGTTTCTTAGAGATTAGAAGGTGTTACAGACCCTCCAGGCTCCTGCTAGTCACCACCCCCCGACATTGGAGACCTAACTAATTATAGACGTGGGGTCTTCATAGATCAATAAGAGCATCTCCTAGAGTCTGGGGCCCTGTAGACCCCGGATCTCAGGACCCACTTTCACACCCCCTATAGAACTCTCCACCTCTATTAAGGATCTATAAGTCCTGTGACTGGCTTCTTTCCCTATGGAATCATGATCCCGTATGACCCCCAGATCCTTTAGACCCACTACTTGTCAAATAGAATCTGAGGCCTTACACATTCCAAGGCCTTCTTTAAGGTTCCCAGAGGTTCTTGGAGACTCTGGATCATCAGCTCAATTATCTTGTAGACCCTGAGCTCTGGGTAGCACCCAGATGCCCATGTAGTCCCCCATGTATCCTAGCTTACAACTCCCAGCTTTGTGGACTTTCCAAACCTTCCCTAACCCCATAGATCCCCATCCACACAATGCTCCCTTTGTTAGACCTCAGGCCTTGTTAGTTGCCTGTAGATCCATCTACCCTCTTAGAGCTTCACCTGTAATTCTTCAGGTGGGACCCCTTCACCTCCTCATCTCGTAAATAGCCAGCATTCCCTTTCTCTAACCTCTCTGAACCCCAGGTTTTGTGGAGCTTCTGAGTCCAACTTGCACTCCAGTGATTACATGCCCCTGACTTTTCCTGGCACCATAACACCATAAGGAGACTTGATGTGTCTTAGAGCTTTGGTTTAGATTTTAATTTCCAAAGGGTGGATGAGGGTCCCCACACTCTGAAGCAATGCATTTAAGCAAGACTGCCTAGGTCTGAATCTTTGCTCTTTTATAATGTGTGCCTCAGTCTCCTCTATAAAATGGGGATAAGAATAATAGTGACATCTTGGGATCATTGAGAGGATTAAATGAATTAATATCTATAAAACAGGAATGCTGGGCCTGGCACAGCACTAAGTGCACTTAAGTGTTAGCTGCTATTTCACCTTATCATGATGAGAAATAAGGAGGTACTTGTCAAGGGCACAGTGTGGGACCTGGCACCAAGCATCTGCTCAGATAATATGTTTACCCCTCTCCTTTGTGCTTTTGGAATCTCCTTGACTGAGTTGAACCTTTCCTTCCTTGAGTGAGATGATTATGGACCTTTCATGTCCATGGTCATGTTTTCCAGCCCAGAAGTTGCAGCTGGTGGTGTGAGTCCCATCTCTCATGGGAATAAGAACAGTATGGGCTGCTCATGGTTGGGGAGGCTTTCCTGAGTTGATACATGAGACATACTTAGAGCAATGCCTAGCACACTGTATGTGCTATGTGAGTTTAGCTCTCATAATAAATTATTACTATTACTTTTCTGCCTTGGTTTGCACATTTATTAATGTAAATTTTTAACAATGCTCAAATCTGGAATTACTCAAGCTTGGGTATTAGACAAATGTACTTTATGGAAAAGAATAAAAATTATGCTGCTTGGGTGGACCCATAAGATGGCATTTGGACCCTCTAGAAAGCATCATTGTTTAATAGTCATGATCAAATCATAGCTAACATTTACTGGGAAGCTAGGAAGGAGGCCTTTGAAAGAGGGAGAGGGTGGGTCTCAGGCAGCTACGGTTATAAATAGCTTAGGGCTGTGAGGACTCCCCCCATGGTCCACCACACCCCTTTCCACAGCTCCTTCCCGCATGACACTGGCTCCATGGCATTAGTCAGACTAATTAAGGACACAGAAGATGTCAGTGGAAAGACTCAGGGAGAAGTGGAGGTTCATGGAGAGGCAGCAACAGATGGGGAGAGAAGCAGGTGGAGAGAGATGAGAGGCAGCACATGAGACCGGTGTGAGGATGGCAGCTGCCCAAACCAGATGTGGGAAGGCACAGAGATGGGAGAGAGAAGGAGAGGTGGGCATAGCCTCTGAGATGGGAGAGGAGGGGAGGAGGCAGAGTCCATGGGAAAAATGAGACAGATCTGGAGGAAGGGAAGGAGATAAATGAGGAAACAGGGAGAGGAGAGGCTGAGACATGAGGCAGCTTTGAGGAGAGCAGGCTAGGGAAAGGAGGGGTGGTAAGAGGGACAGAGGGCAGAGAAGACAGACACACCTGGGGATGGGATAGCGGAGGACCCTACCTCATTTCCTGGGACTGGAAGCCAGGAAGGATATGAAGCTCCTGAGGGAGGGAAGAACTTCTGGGTTTGGGGACTCCTGCCCTAAGGGAGGAGGGTTCAGGGGGTTATTTTCTTACATAGAGAGAGTTGGGGGTTGGGGGTTTGCCATTGTGACTTCCTGTCACAGGAAGTGGGGCTGGTGGGTTCTGAGGCAGCATCCTGCCCCAGGCCTGTCACAGACCAGAGGAGAGCCCCCAACACCCCAGATCTTTCCTTCCACCTCTCCTGTAGCCTTCCCAACTCTGCTTGCCTCTAGGCCCTGCCCTGTCAGGAGTCAGCCCCCGCCCCAGGTCCCTCTAACCCAAGAGCCTGGCCCCCAGCTCCCTCCTCCATCAGGGACCCAAAATTGCAGGCTCTCAGACACAGCCCTCTCTGGGACCAGGCCTCCTGAGCTTCCAGCCCTCCCCATCCCTGCTGGCCTCTGAAGGGCTCTTTGTGGCCACACAGAGGCCCCATTGAGTTGCGGAGGCCCAGATGGGGGGGGGGGAGGCTGTTTACTCACCTTCACACCTGGGCCAGGAATCTGTGAGTAACCACCCCTGCCTCCTCCACCCACCCCCTAACCACCACCCCTCCTCTTCCCCCAGCCCTGCAGAGCCCAGGGAGGAGATGGAAGACGTCGCCGGAGGGGTGGTGAGTGGGGAAAGCCAGGGGTGAGAGCACTGGGGCTGTGAGGGGGGCCCTGTGGACTGAAGCCCCCCTCCCCTTTCACAGCCTCCAGGGCCCCCCAAGCCTGGCCTTGTGCCCATCAGCATCATCGGGGCTGAGGACGAGGATTTTGAGAACGAGCTGGAGACGGTGAGCAAAGATGGGTTGGAAAAGCTTCCGTCCCAGGCTCAGCATCCTATCCTGTGTCCCCTCCCACCACAGGTCCAGTCCTCAGTTCTCAGATCCTGTCCCTGGCCCCCTCCCACAGCCTGTCTCTTGTTCTCTCATCTTCTTGGCACCTCCTTCCTTATCTCACCCTTCCCATCCTCAGAGCCCCCATTGCAGCATAGACTCCCAAGCTTCTTATCCCTCAACCCCAGTTCTGATCACTGTTCCCTCCTTCCCCGCCTTAGCATGGGTCCCCATTCCTTCTCACCTAACTTCTGTCCTCATTGACCACCAATATAGCCTTAAATTTCATTCATTCTTCCTGCCTACCTGCCCACCTGCCTGTGCTGTCACCTGTATAGCAGAGACACCATTACTATCCCTGAGTTCCCAGGACCTTCCCAGCTTGGATCCATCCTGAAGTGCCAGAGACTGGGTAGAATCAAGCCCAAAGCCCTTCCTCTCCTCCCCATTGTATTCAACCCCATCCCCTTCCCCAGAGCTCAGAGTTGCAAAACAGCCAGTTCCAGAGCCTGGAGCAAGTGAAGCGGCGCCCAGCCCACCTCATGGCCCTCCTGCAGCACGTGGCCCTGCAATTTGAGCCGGGACCCCTGGTGAGGGCAAGGCTGGGAAGGCACAGGGGAGGGTGAGGCTGGAATAGGCCACAGTCTTCAGTGAGCTAGGCCAGTGATGATGAGCCGGGAGGGCCTGAGAACCTGATTCAGAAATAGACAGCACCATAGATGAGATCCAGAGAGGCTACCATGGGATGTAGACAAGATTGAAGGATTCACCTATGAGGTCCCCATGCAGGCTAAGAGAGTTCACACGGCAAGGTCACATAGAGAGCACCAGAGAATCCAGCAGCCAGGCAGAAACCACATCCCCTTCTTACCCACCTTCCATGCCTGTAGCAATGCCACCCTTCAGTGACAGTGCCCTTCCATGGATGCTTCCCTGCAAGGTCTTCTCAGCAGGTGGCATTAGTTAGTCATTCAGGTTGGTGCTTGGGAGAAAGCTGTCAGACAGCCCAGCCTAGGTGTCCCTACAGCCCATATTCCAGAAACAAGAAAAACACCACAAGGAGCTCACGAGGCAGACAGAACATAATTGTTCATCTAGAAACTTCCTGGATGAGCCAGAAGATATCTGGGAGAGGTGGATGCATAACCTTACTGAGTCCAAAAAACCCACCAGATGATATAGGAGGTAGAAGCCACAGTATAGACACTGGGTCTAGGGACCTGTGGAAAAGGGTTTCATCCCAAAAAGACCCAGTGCAGCCCAGCACGAGACAGGAGTGCAGGACAGCCCCAAGCATTGCATTCGTTATGGAAATGCACAGCAAATCCCTCCAGAAAACTAGGAGAACACCTGAGAGTACAGAAAGAAGAGCACGTCATCTGTGAGACAGGAAGGAAGCTGTGTATCCTGACACCAAAGCTTTATAACATGGTAGAAAATGAAGAAATTGACTAGGCACAGTGACTTAGGCATGTAATCCTAGTACTAGTACCTCAGGAGGCTGAGTTGGGATAATCCCTTGAGCCCAGGTGTTTGAAGTATGAGCTATGATGACCATACACTGCACGACAGCCTGGGCAGCAGAATGGGACTTTGTCTCAAAAAAAGGGCATCGCCTATGGCTCAAAGGAGTAGGGTGCTGGCCCCATATGCCGGAGGTGGCGGGTTCAAACCCAGCCCCGGCCAAAAACTGCAAAAAAAAAAAAAAAAAGGCCAGACGTAGTGGCTCATGCCTGTAATCCTAGCACTCTGGGAGGCCAAGGCAGGAGGATCACTTGAGCTCAGGAGTTTGAGACCAGCCTGGGACCCATCTCTACTAAAAATAGAAAAATCAGCCAGACATTGTGGCAGGTGCTTATACTCCCTCCTGGGAGGCTGAGACTGGAGGATCACTTGAACTCAAGGATTTGAGGTTGCTGTGAACTAGGCTAATGCCACAGCACTCTAGCCTGGGCAACAGAATGAGACTCTGTCTCCAAAAAGAGAGAGAGAAGGCTCGGCGCCTATAGCTCAACCGGCTAAGGCGCCAGCCACATACACCTAAGGTGGCGGGTTC